CATCCAAACACTTCTTGAGCTCTGTCAGCCTTGGTGCTGTGCCCACTGCCCTGGGGAGCCTGGTCAGTGCCCAACCACCCTCTGGGGAAAGAATCTTTTGTCTAAGATCCAACCTGACCCTGCCCTGACACAACTCCAGGCCATTCCCTCAGTCCTGTCCCTGGTCCCCCCAGAGCAGAGCTCAGGGCCTGCCCCTCCTCTGCCCCTCCCCAGGAAGTTGGACCTGCAGTGAGGTCTCCCCTCAGTCTCCTCTTCTCCAGCTGAACACACCAAGTGCCCTCAGTGTCCTCACACACCTTCCCCCCAAGGCCCTTCCCCATCCTCCTTGCCCTCCTTTGGACACTCTCCAATGGCTCAATCTCTCCCTTCCATTGTGTCCCCCCAAACTGCCCCAATGGTGCAGGTGAGGCCGCCCCAGGGCAGAGCAGAGCGGGACAATCCCCTCCCTGGCCCGGCCGGCCATGCTGGGCCTGATGCCTCCAGGACAGGCTTGGCCCTCCTGGCTGCCAGGGCACTGCTGACTCAGGGCCAACTGGCCACCCACCAGCACCCCCAGGGCCCTTTCCCGGCCCTGCTTTCCAGCCTCTCCTTCCCAGTCTGTCCGTCCATGCGGGGTTGCCCCATCCCAGGGCAGAATCCGGCACTTCCCCCTGTTGAAGTTCTCAGGGCTCCTAAAGAGCCGGGAGGTCACGGGATGTCAAAGAGCCCCACGGAGCTCAAGGGACCCTTGGGACACTGTGGAACCTCCTGGAATCAAGGGGCCTTTGTGACATGTGGGGCCTCATGGAATCAGAGGAACCTGTGGAATATCATGGAATCAAGGGGCACCTGTGGCACTGCAGGGTCTCATGCTCCAGAAGGAACCCTGGGACACTGTAGGATCTCATGGAACCAAGGTGCCATTGTGACACAGCATGGCTGCAGGGAATCAGGGCTCCAGAGTAAAAGTCCATGGCCTCATGGAAAAAATGAATTCTGGGACACTGTGGAACCTCAAGCAATCAAGAGACAATTTTGACACTCCAGGGCCTCATGGAGCCAAAGGAACCCTGGGACTTTTTGGAACCTCATGGAGTCAAGGGCCAGTTGTGACACTGCAGAGCCTCATGGAACTAAAGGAATTGTGGAGACCTGCTGATGCCTAAAATCTGTCCTGACACAGTTTTAAACTCTTTTACTATTCTTGGCTGTTAATAAAGACAATCTGACTGTGTCACTAAAAATAGAAGTTTTATTCTTCCGTCCTCCTCGTCCACCCCAAAATGGCAGAAAAGGCATGCAATGTTTACAGTAAAGCTTTTTTATCCCACCTAGCGCAGGAATTTCTAGGCTACAGGGAAGGAGGCACGCATGGACCTATTTAACACACTGTCACACTTTTTCTAACTTATCCACACTAGTCAAATTTTTCTAACAACACACTGTCATTCTTAATTAGAAATTAATTCCTATTTCATAAGTGGGGTGAACTAAAGCAGTCTCTTCCTTCTCATTTTTAACTTTGGTAGCAGGTGCTCACCGCAGGTGTCCTTCCCCTGAAGTTGCAGCTCCTTCTCTCCCTCTCACAGAGTGCCCAAGGCCGTCTGATGGATTCCATCCCTATCTCTGAGGCCTCTCTCTGGGGAGCTGCCTCTGGCTCTCCAGCCTGAACACCTGTTTGGTCTCCCACCCCCCAGCTGTGATTCAGTTTTCTGGAATGATTATTAATGAATTAAAAAGCTTTTTTGGGCCATGATCTAGGCAACTGCTGCCGTGGATAACGTGGATTGCAGGAAGGCAGAAGAGAAGGACGTGAAAGGGCCACCTGTGAGCAAAAGGTATTTTTCGTTTTCAGTAGTCTCTGAATTTTTGTTACTAGTTTTCTGTTTCTGTGGAAGAGTTCAGTGTCCTCCCTCCTGGGAGGGATGGGAATAAATGATTAAACATGGAAAACGTTGTGGCTGAGCTGTTCCAACACTGTAAACTGTCATTTGTCCAGATGGTCTAAAGATGTCCAGATTATTGAAAACCTTCCATATATTTCTTTTCAGGGAGAGAGAAATATTTGATGAAGAAATCCAGCAAAGGCAAAAGTGCAAGGCCAAGCCTCAGCCTGCTGAGAGCTGAGGAGTGGCACCAGCTGCCCCAGAATTACATAGGGAAAATAAGAAACACAGAGCTTTTGGAATGGGATCGAGCCATTTTCAATGGGATTGATTCACTTTGAGGTGACAGACTGATCCCTCTCGACTTTTGGGATGCAGAGCTGGGAGAGACTGGAATGTTAATGGTCCACGGCTCCAACACTCTCCAGTTGCAGAAGCAGTGGGGGCTTTGCTGCCCATGGGCAAAGGAACCGCCTGGGGAAGGGGGGGTTAATGGGGCTGGGGGGAGAGGAGGGGCAGCACCACGAGCAGGTGAGTCCTGAGACCCTCCTGGTGTCCCCAAGACCATCTTGGTGTCCCCAACCCTCCCCTTGACACCCCGAGACCCCCCTGGTGTCTCCAATGTCCCCAGGGCCTCCCCATGGCCCCAATTCCCCCCTTGACACCCCCAATTCCACTGTCCCCAAACCCCTCCCCACTGTCCCCACTGTCCCCAAACCCCATCCCTGATGTCCCCAACCCTCCATCTCACCCCAGGAGACCCCCCTGGACCCTCTGACCACAAAAACACCCCTCCTTCCCCCCACGCTCACAGAAAGGCCAAGGGCATCTGGGGACACGTTGGGGACAGTTGGGGGGCTTTGGGGGGCACTGGGTGATTACTGGGGGATACTGGGACACACTGAGGGGAACCAGGGGGCACTGGGAGGGACTGGGGGGGAACTGGGGCACACTGGGGGACACTGGAAGGGACTGGAGGAGAACTGGGGCACACTGGGGGACACTGGCAGATGACTGAGGAGTTCTTGGGGGATTACCAGGACACACGGGGGGACACTGGGAGGTTACTGGGCCATACTGGGGGTTACTGGGTGCTCACTGGAGGATCATTGGGCCACACTGGGAGGCAGTGGGAGGTCACTGGGATGCACTGGCTGGTCACTGAGGGGGTTACTGGGCCGTACTGAGAGTCACTGGGAGGTCACTGGGCTGTACTGGGGACATTGGGATCCCCTTACCCGGATGTGGTACATCTCGTCCCTGGACTTTGGGGGGCACCACCAGGCCCCCTCCCCTGGGGGCTGGGGGACCCCCTGAACCCCACTGCTGAACCCTCCCTGTAGGATCTCTGTGTGCTGAGTTTTGCGGTCTCTGGGGTTCAGGGCGGGCATCAGGATCCCCTTTCCCTGAGGTCGGTCCGCCGGGCCGGCAGGGGCGCTGTGGCCCGAAAAGAAATGGCGGGTCCAGCACGTGACGCGGGGACTCATGGGAGTTGTAGTTCTTTTATGAGCTCTCTGCCGGCGCGCCTGCGCAGTGCAGCCAGGGCGTTGGAAAAGCCCCCGAGCCCCGCAGCCCCCAAGAGGGCTCCAAGGCCCCGCGCTCTGCCCCTCGGGAACCCCCGAACCCCTCCGCTAAACCCTCCCGAGCCCTCCAGCCTTTCCACTCACAGTGCAGTGCACCCGCCGCCGCCTCCTCCATCACTTCCCCACAGCCGACATGGCGCTCTGTGCGCTCCCCGCCTCCAGAGAGACCCCCACAGTCAATCCGCGGGCGGTCTCGCCCCCCGCTCGCCCGATGCCACGCCCAGGCACCGGGCGAGCGGGAGAGGAAGACTTTGAGCCTTCATCCCCTGCGACCACCCGAGAGCAGCACCAGAGAGAAGTGTGCAGGCGCCAGAAGGCGCGTCCCGAGATTTCCATGGAACACCGCCCACTCTGGGGTAGCTCGGGAAGATGTAAAAATGTGCAATGAATAGGTATGAGCTAATTTCCCAGGAACTGGAACAGCCCTGTGTGTGCAGGGGCACAGGTCAGGGGGTGCTCCCCCAGCAGCCCTCTGTCCCCACAGCAGGTTGGGAGCTCAGGGGGCCACCCCGGACCCCCCTTTCCCACCCCCCTCTGCCCCACAGCTGCTGCAGCACCAGCTGCTGGGTGGGGGGAGTCCCCCCATCACCCCCCAGGGTTGGGGACCTGTGGAGAATCGTGACCAGAGCAAGCACAGAAAGGGTTACAGAAGCAGTGGACATTCCCAGTGCGGATCTGCCCCCTCCCAGAGCCCCAGGGAACCGCTCCAGGGCCCAACTGATGGGGGACAGGGGGGACCCATATGGGAACCCCCCTCCCTCTGTCCTCCTGCCCACTGTCCAACACCCCTTTTCTCCCCTCTCCCACCCCTTTCTCGTCATCCCCACAGTCCTCAGCTCCCCCCCCGGCTCGGTTTGGGGCTGTTTCTTCCCCTCTGCCCTGCTCGGTTTCAGAGTCTCAGCCCCTTCCCTGCTCAGTTTGGAGGTCCCAGCCCCCCCTTTTCTCCCGTTCTCCCCCCCCCTTTTTCCACTGTCCCCTAAAAGGGAGCTGTTAAATATTGGGTGCTGAAAAAGCTGCTACATCGTGTCCATTCCAAATTAAGCCTGCATTTATTAGCATGGACTGGTATCCAAATGGCAGCAAGAAGAGTCTTCTAATTCTCTTCTTTTTAATCCTCTCTGCAGTCGCCAATTTCCCCTCGAAGCGGGCAGGAAAACAGGAACAGCCCTGGGGCGGTCGGGGAGCAGCGCTGACCCCAAAGGGCTGCATTTCCCCTGCCGATCGTCCTGCTCTGCCCTCCCCCGGGGCTGGCTCTGCCTGGCGCTGGCCGGACGTCCCGGGGCTCCTCACTGAGCAAACCCCTTCCCAAACTTCAGGGACAAGTCCAGACCCCGGCTGGCCCGGGAGGAAGCGACAGCAGCGCGGGCCGAGCGGGCGGGATGGGGTCCGAGCAGCGGCGGGAAGTTGCAAGATTGCCAGCAAAGAAGTCAAAATAAAGTGAAGCAGCTAAAAAAGCCCGTGGTCTCGGCATGGGTGCGGGAGGAAGGGGAGCTCCGTGACTGCAGCCGGGGCTGCCCCCGGGGCGCGCGGGGGCCAAACAGGGAACGGAAAAATGGACAAACGGACGAACCGACGAACGGACCAACGGCCCCGGCGCTTCGGCAGCAGCAGCGGCAGCAGCAGCAGCGACTCTAGCGACGCGCTCTCGGTCTTTCTCCTGCTCTTGCTCTTCCTCCTCTCCGTCTCCCGGTGTCCCTGTCCCGGTGTCCCTGTCCTGGTGTCCCTGTCCCGGTGTCCCTGTCCCGTTCCCGGTCCCCCCTCCCCTTGCCGGCCCGGGCCATGGCCCCGGCCGTTCCCCTCTGCCGGGCGGGGCCGCCCCGTCCCCGGCCCTGGGCGGCCCGGCGCGGTCCCGCCCTCGCCCGGCTCCCGGCGCGCCGGCTGTGGCGCTGCTGGGCGCTCCTGTGGGGCGGGCTGTGGGATGGGCTGTGGGATGGGCTGTGGGATGGGCTGTGGGGCGGGCTGTGGGATGGGCTGTGGGATGGGCTGTGGGGCGGGCTGTGGGATGGGCTGTGGGATGGGCTGTGGGGCGGGCTGTGGGATGGGCTGTGGGATGGGCTGTGGGGCGGGCTGTGGGATGGGCTGTGGGATGGGCTGTGGGGCGGGCTGTGGGATGGGCTGTGGGATGGGCTGTGGGGCGGGCTGTGGGATGGGCTGTGGGATGGGCTGTGGGGCGGGCTGTGGGGCGGGCTGTGGGGCGGGCTGTGGGATGGGCTGTGGGGCGGGCTGTGGGGCTGGTTGTGCGGCGGGCTGTGGGGCGGGCTGTGGGGCGGGCTGTGGGATGGGCTGTGGGATGGGCTGTGGGATGGGCTGTGGGATGGGCTGTGGGATGGGCTGTGGGATGGGCTGTGGGGCGGGCTCGGCGTCGCCGCCGCTTGGCTCCGCCCGGCTCGAGCCCGGCGCCTGCCGGGGCCGGCGGGGGCCGCGGCCGCTGCCGCCTCCTCGGCGGCTTCCCCGACCAGAGCTCCGCCGCTCGCCAGCCCGGCCGCCGGCAGCGAGCCGCCGCTGCCCGCTGCGGGTGGGGAAGCCCGGCCCGGGCCGCTCGAGGGGCGCTCGGGGGCCGTGCCGGGCCCCGGCCCGAACGCTGACGGCCACGTCTCGCCCGCACGGAAGGCGAAGGGGCCCCTGCAGAAGCGCTACCGGCTGGGTTCGCTGCTGGGCAGCGGCGGCTTCGGCCGCGTCTACGCGGGGACCCGCCTGGCGGACGGAGCCCCGGTGAGTGCAGGAGGAGGAGGAGGAGGAGGAGGAGGAGGAGGAGGAGGAGCGGGACGGGCGGCGAGCTCAACCCGCCGTTCCCCTTGGCTTGCAGGTGGCCATCAAAGCCGTGCCCCGGGATCTCATCCGGCGCTGGGGCGAGCTGGTGAGCGAGCGGGGCCAGCGGGAGAAAGCGGGGCGGGACGGGCGGGGACGAGCCGAGGCCCGGGAGGGTGGAAGCCGCCGGGACACCTGGAGGGAGAGTGGCCGTGGGGTCGGTGGGGGACGGGGAGCATCCAGGGCTGGCCGAGGGGTAGCAGGCAGACAGGCACGGCATCAGCCCCACTGACGACCCCGTGGTCCCCCCGCAGCCCGACGGCACCCGGGCCCCCCTGGAGATCGTGCTGCTGGACAAGGTGTCCAGTGGGTTTCGTGGTGTCATCCAGCTCCTGGAGTGGTTCGAGCTCCCCAACAGTTTCTTGTTGGTGATGGAGCGTCCGGAGCGCTCTCGGGACCTCTCTCGCGTAATCACGGCGTGGAGGTTCCTGCCGGAGGAGATGGCGTGGGGGCTGTTCCGCCAGGTGCTGAAGGCCGTGCGGCACTGCACCAGCTGCGGCGTCCTGCACCGGGACATCAAGCCCCAGAACATCCTCCTCGACCTGGCCACCGGAGAGGCGAAGCTCCTTGACTTTGGATGTGCCACCTTCCTTCAGGACACCGTCTACACCCAGTTTGCAGGTGAGCCCACAGCCGGGGGATGCTCCTGGTGCCAGGCATCGCATGGCCATGCCCGGGTGTGGCACCAGAGATTGCCCCTTTGGCTGAGGGGGAATAGGATTAGTTCTTCAGCCGAGTTGCTTTTGGATGGGGCTGGGGGGTTATTGTGAGACGGGCCCTGGCCTTGCCGACAGCCTGTGCCACCCACCCTGTCCTGGGCTGGGTCTGTGGCAGGGGGGAGCCAGCCTGACCAAAACCCCCGTGAGGGTAGCAGAGAAGGGGGTCAGAACTGTGCACCAGCTGGCTTGGTGTGCAGGCAAGGAGGGGCTTGGGCTGCTCCGCTCCCCTTGTTTGCCTTGGCTTATGATGATTAATTGTTGGGGGCAGTGCAGTGGGGCAGGGAGAAGGCATGGCTTTTCCCCACCACTGGCTGGGTTTTTCCCTTGCATGTAATAGTTGGGCCTTGCCAGGGCTTCTGCTGCCCTCTTGGACACCAGTGGCTTCTTCTCCAACCCCAAGTTTGTAACCAAGAGTCAGGGGCCGGTGAGAAGGCAGTGGGTCACAGCGTGTGCCACTGGGGCAGGCCCCACGTTGCCAGGGATGCTGGGGTGAGGCTCTGGGAGCAGGCAGCATCCACCTGATGAACCCCGTCTGTATTCCGCAGGAACACCGTCATACAGCCCGCCAGAGTGGATCTGCTTCAAACGCTACCGCGGCGAGGCGGCCACGATCTGGTCCCTGGGCATCCTGCTCTACCAGATGGTCTGCGGGAAGCACCCGTTCTGCAGAGGCACCAACACCATCTGGGACCAGCTCCCGTTCCCACCACGGGTCTCTCGAGGTGGATACCAATCTTTGTGGCACGGGGGGAATAACGGTGTTGGGAGAGGGCAGCGGGCTCACGAGGACACCGCTCTTGAAGCTGTTTGTGTCCCATGGTTGGCTGGGGGAGGTGGCCTGTGTCCTGCCATCCTGCTCTCCTCCAAAAGGGAGAATCAATGGAGAAGTTTGGGCACAGCTCTGAAAAGGGAGAATCAATGGAGAAGTTTGGGCACAGCTCTGAGCACAGCCAGCACAGCCTGGGCGCGTGGACAGTGGGACAAAGGGGACAGGATCCTTCTCCAACTGACC